ATTTTTGTTTGTAATGTTGGTTTTATATTAAGATGTTTTCTGTGTATTGTGAAGCAAAGCAAGTGAATAATTTTAAATTATTCTAATTCTGTTATCTCTCATGTCTGGGATAGCCAGGAGTCCCCATGTGGAAGAAATAAATTAGAAGGCTAAGTAAACACCCTGTGTTCTTTATTTTTAATTGGAAGTAGCAGTATGAACTCTTAATTTTATCTTAAAATGGTATATACATCATATAAATGTGTATATTTTTGCACATATGTACACGTATAATGTTAATCTGAGAATGTTTTATGTGTATTGTAGAATAAAGTAAATGAATACGTGATATTTTAACTTTGACCATTTTCTAGCTACGTCTCCTGAAAAGACCAAGAAATGAGCAAATCTAGTTCCCAGAATGTGGTTTTTGACTTCTAAAAGAAACCAGGGCTTCTTGGATAAATCTTTCATTCCAGGTCCGGGGCATGAAATAAGTAAAATGATCCTGGAATATTTTTATACCGTATACCAAGGAAGCTGTCAGCATGACTAACTAGAGTCATGACAAAAAGATTTAGCAGCCAACTTGAAGAGGTTCTGGGGTTACCAGTTCTCCCAGTTTTAGCACTAAAATCCTTTGTCCCGGGATGCCTCCCCGTCTCAGGCAAATCGGGATAGTAGATCACCTTCAGAGGCTCCACTGGCTAAGAGTCGGGCGGTGTGAGCGTCTGTCGGGATAAGAGCTATAGTGACTTGGCAACCTTTATTCTTCAGTGTCTGAGTTCATAGTGTAGCCAAAGCAGAACAAAATCCCTAATTGTTCATCTTTGGTGGGTGTTTGGAAAGCAGTTTTTAATTTTGAAAACTGATAAACCAAAGGAAAGAATCAAGTATTTATTCTTACTTTTCAGTATGAACTGTAACACTGGCTAAACAAATAGTAGATGAGGTAAAGTTTCTTTTTATAGAGTAATTTTATATGCTAGCGAATAAAGACAAAACAATAGAATTGGAGTATCAGCATTTTGCGTCACCATTTTAATGGATTTTGACATGGAGTTTCAGTAGCTGCTGACCGCACTAAAAGAGAAAATCATAGATGTGTTATAGGTTTCCATCACTTAATGAATAATCTTGCCCAAAATATTAAACCTGAACCTGAGGAACCTGCCTACATCCAACTAGTAATGTATAGGACATACAGAAGACAGAGGAACATGGGAAATTACACTGGGAATTCAACCTGGTCTGTGGGAAACCGTATAGGAGAGATGATCCAATATATTCAATAGATTGCAAAGAAACAAAGGAAATGATGAGGGAACCTGTACAGCCCAAAAAGGGACAAAATTAAACTATAGAATTTACATATGAACACCTCAAGAATAAAACCATAAATAAAAATAAGGGAGCGATTACCACAAAAGTGTCAGAATAGTGGTTTCTTTTGGGTAAGATGGAGAGTAGAGGGAGAATGATGGAAGTGTCATGATTGGGAGGGGTACATGGAAGGCTTTTGTAGTGGCTGACGCGGTTCTTCCTCCTGATTTGCATGGTGGTTCCAACTCATTTAGCTGTAATTTCTGTATGTGATTTTCTGTTTGTAGTATGTATGTATGTATGTATGTATGTATCTATCTATCTATCTATCTATCTATCTATCTATATTTAAAGACTGGTGTTTTTTTTTTTAGAGTAACTTTAGGTTCACGGCAAAATTAAGAGGAAAATATAGAGTTTCCCATATCTCCCTTGTCAGCACACATGTGCAGCCTCCCCTTTAAATAGCACCCCCACTGGAGTGGTGCATTTGTTATAATTGATGAACCTACCGTGTCACTCAGAGTCTGTAGTTTACATTAGGGTTTACTCTTTGTGTACTTTCTGTGGGTTTGGACAAATGTCTAATGACATATCTATCATTATAGCATACAGAGTACTTTTCATGCTGCAAAAATTCTCTATTCTCTACTTATTCATCCCCCAACCTCTGGCAATCATTGATCCTTTTGCTGTCGCCATAGTTTTGGCTTTTCCAGAATGTCCTATAGTTGAAATCATAGCCTTTTTGGATGGCCTTCTTTCGCTAAGTAATATGCATTTAAGGTTCCTCTATGTCTTTTCATGGCTTGATAGTTTGTTACTTTTGAGTGCTGAGTAATATGTATTATATTTGATAATAAAAGTCTAGAATAAAAAAAATAAGGAAGGAAAGGAAATGGATTGGAGCGGAGGCCACTCTATTAGGAAATGGTGAGAGTTGATGCCTTATAGATTACCTAAGACTTGCTGACTGAGGATTTTATTAAATGCTATTTTGGGAAGATTCAACATAATCTGTTATTAGAGAGCCAGTGAAGTTTATTAAAAAGGGGGCTGGAGTGCTGAAAACTGTGTTTCTAAGAAGATAAATCTGGCAGGATGGATTTCAGTAAGACTGGAAAACTAGCCAGGAGACCACAGTGTTAAGGTGAAGGTGATAAAGATTTGGATTAGAGTGGTGCTTGTAGGACTAGGGGTAGAATAACTGTTGCGTTACGCAACAGAAGAATAGTCAATAAGACTTGGTGACAGATTAAGTATAGTTAAAAATAAAAGCATTAGAAATGAGCTCAAAGATTTCCTGTTTGGAGGTATATCCTTCATTGGGTAGGGACTGGGAATTCTGGGAGGACAGCTCTAGGTAATTAGATTTAAATAAGACCTGTGTTTCTCCTCATGATATATTTAGCATCCCAGAGGAATGATTGCTAGGGATTCTATATTCCAAATGGTTCCAAATTCTGTGCTTATTATTACCCTATTCAGAAAATAAGTAAAATGTAGTTAAAAGATAAAATGCCCAAATCTGCCATTTTCCAGGGGGAAATTCTTATTAATTTAAATACTTCGGACTGTAGTTACACAGAAAAGTAGCCAGGTAAACATGTTTACTTGGTTGCCTTGGTCTTACATATGTTCATAAACATACAGGGGGTACCCAAAACATGGATACACATTTTAAGAAAGGCAAAAACTGCATTAAAATTGTAATACTCAATATATACCAATACCAAGAGATGAATACAAGTCATGTGTATACATTTTTTGGCATCCCCAGTATATTTGATTGTATGTTTATGTTTGTGTGTATGTTTGTATATGTTGTGTGTGTGCATATTGTGGGTGCATGAGTATGGCTGTGAAAAAATGTTTATAGCTGGAGCCTCAGGGTCCCTGTCTTCACAGTGCTTTTAATTTTTATTGCCACCTGGTAGGATTTTCCTCTTGAGATGGGAGGTATTCTTGCTTCTCAGCCAGGTTCAGTGCCATTCAAAGATGGTGGTGATGCTGCAGCAGCATAGACTCTCTGTTCTTCATTATCACTGCTGACTCTGTAGGTCACTGCATTTCCATTATTGCGTCAGTCTCCCATCTCCTTACACTCCCCCAGGCTATTGTCCTGGGTCCATCCAGCTTCTGTAAGAAAATGTCCTGAAATACACGAGTCTTTAGTTCATGTCTTAGTCTTTCAGATTAGTAAAGACTTAGTGTTAGATCTGGTAATGAAAAGGTAATAGGTAACAGGAGTTTTTTGTTTTTTTGTTTGTTTTAATAACTTTTTCTTAGATAATAGTGATAGAAAAACAAAACAAAAAAACTGAAGGAGGGCTGGCTGAGTGGCACGTTGGTTAAGAGTTGGCTTGGGACGCCAGCTCTGAGCAGCAGGGCCCTGGTTCGGATCCCACATGAGGGCCAGTGATGCTGCGCCCTCTACAGCTAAGATGGTGAACAACAGTTCGACCTGGAGCTGGGCTGCCGTGAGTCACCGGCAACGGCGTAGGCTGCAGTGGGGCTGGCCGGCAGCAGGCGTGAGCTTTCGTGAGCTGCCATGAGCTGCCGTGAGTGGCCGTCCAATGGCTGGCGAGCGACTGCCTCACCAGGGAAGAGCGCAATGATAATACCAACATGGGCCAGTGAAGCGATGTCCTCCACAACTAGACTGAAGAACAAAAGGACAGCAACTTGTCGATTCCCCTTTCCCTATTCCCCAACACTGTTCCCCTCCCTCAGTTCCCCCAATAAAATCTTAAAAACAACAACAACAACAACAAAGGAAAATTCAAATAGGGCATGCTTGTTCTTTTCAGTCTAGTAAAATTAGGAGAAGTTCTAAGTCTATTTCCCTAGGGATCTAGAAAAGAGAAATCAGGATTGGAAACAATAGGAGGCAGTAGTAGTAAGATGACACCACTCAACGATATTAAAAAAAATACTGATGCTTAGTTCCCAACGCTAGAGGTTCTGATTTAATTGGTCAGATTTATGGCCTGGGCACTGGTTCATTTTGAACCCACCCCCTTTGAATTTAATGTGAGTCAAGACTGAGAACCGCTGGCCTAGAGAAGAGATCTGGTGTAGGACTGAGGAGAAGCATAGCACCTCAATCCCCAGTTCTCCATTTGGAATAAATTGGAGTTTATTTTTTTATTTTATTTTTTCTTAGATTTTTTATTGGGGAATTGGGGAAGGGAAACATTGTGTTTTTCCAGGACCCATCAGCTCCAGGTCAAGTTGTTGTCCTTCAGTCTTAGTTGTGGAGGGCGCAAGCTCAGCTCCAAATCCAGTCACCGCTTTTCAATCTAGTCGCAGGGGGCGCAGCTCTCATTCCATGTGGGAGTCAAACGGCAACCTTGTTGTTAGGAGCATGTGTTCTCACCAGCTAAGCCATCCTGCCACCTGTTGGCAGCTCAATAGCAGCTCAGTTCAGGCGCAGCTCACTGGCCCATGTGGGAATCAAACCAGCGATCCTGTTGCTCAGAGCTTGTGCTCTTAACCAACTGTGCCACCTGGCAGGCCCTGGAGTTTATTTTAGAATGATGCTTTTTAAGACTTGTGATCATTTATGTTTCTGGTGGCAAACAAAAAAGACATGAAGAATCTTTAGCATCTGGAAGGAATGGACAGATTCACATAATAATAGTAATAAAACTCCATGGAGTGACCACACTTATCTCTTAACACTGATATTTTTACAGGTTGCCTGTGATTTGCTTCGGAGAATTATCCGCATCTTGTACCTCAGTAAGAGACTCCAAGGACAGCTGCAGGGGGGAAGTAGAGAGATAACAAAAGCCGCTCAGAGTCTCAATGAACTTGGTAAGTACTTTTTTGGTTACAGAGTTAGTGGAGTTTTAAAGATTTGTCAGTCACTTGATTTGTTGACTTGTTACATAATCACCATCAACAAATATTATTGAGCAAATTTATTTAATATTGAGCAAATTTATTTAATAATTGGCTGTTAACATTGTCACACTTAAAAATAGGTGAGTAAAATGAGTTGATTTCTTAGAAATGCTGTTTGTTTAAAAAAATCTGTCGTATAGTAAAATAGGCCCTTTTAAAAATACAGACCTGTGAATTTTAACATATGTAAAGATTCGTGTAAGCTCCAGCACAGTCATGATACAGAACAGTTCCATCACTCCCAAGATTTTCTCATGCTCTCCCTTTATAATCCTGACTGTCCCCACCCCCACCCCACCCCAGCCCCTGGCAACCATGTGTCGGTTCTACATCAGTGTGGTTTTGCTTTTTGGAGAATGTCACATAAATGGAATCATATAGTATGTAACCTTTTGAGGCTGGCTTCTTGTACTCAGCATAATACCTTTGAGAATTACCTAAGTTTTTGTATAGACCATAGTTTGTTACTTTGTGTTTGTTGGAATACCATTGTGTGGTTGTACCATGGTTTGTTTATTGATTTACTGGTTGAAGGAAATTTGTGTTGTTTCCAGTTTTTGGTAATTATGAATAGAGTTACAGTAAACATTCATGTACAGGTTTTTATGTGTTCTTAAGTTTTCATGTCTCTAGGAGAACTATCCAGGAGAAATGCTGTTTTTTTAGGTGACAAATCCCATGTTGACATGATGCCTTGAAGATTTATTGAATTTATTTCTTCATTTGTTCCTTATTTTCTCAAAAATTTAGAGTAGACTCTTGACATTCAATTTTGACTAATACCAAGCTGCAAAGTTCATGATGAAGCAGTTCATAATTTTTCAGGCAAAATTTTGCATAGCTATTGAGCTTTCATAGAACTACCTAACACCTGCATTTTAATGAGGCTTTGTGGTTTTCTTCTTTTCATTTGGTACCCAGTAATTTCCTGAAGTGGATGAGTTTAGTGGTATTTGTACCTTTGTAGGTTCAAAAGATCTTTGATTATATCCATCTCAAATATCAAGATTGTACTTACTCTTGGTGGTATGCTTTGAAAATAGTTATGCCAAAATAATAGAAAGATGTGTGTTACATGTTTTTTTGAATTTTTCTATCTTTGATATTTTAATTACATAGTCATGTTGTAATGCTTATTCCATATTTTTTGCTAAGGAAATATAATATCCTTTACAAATCACGCTTCAACAACATTTCAATTTATAATGCTTAATTAAATACATTGCTTAGGCGCATCATTGGGAATATATCTAACTTGTGATTTGATATGCTTGGAATATATTGTCTAAAAAGATAATTTTTTAACAGTGAGTAATGCTTGAGGTTTTTTTTAGACTATGTGCAAAATATAGGAGTGTAAAAATCCTAGTATCATCTGTTACTCTTTGCTTTATCACATTTAATTCCTGTGCTCCAAAAATAATCTGTAGAATAATAGAATCAATAAAAACAGACACAACTTATTCCAAGGTTATTATGTATATTTGTTATCACTGATACTCTCCCATAATAACAAATTGCTAGGTTTTGATTATAATTATCATCTCTTCTAGAAACAGCAGATACTATAATGCAAATGGTGTCTTTAAAAAAAAAAACTGGCACAAGTATCAATTCATAATGCTTTGAGTTGGTGCAGTACAGAATATAAACCCTTTATTCTTCCAATGAGCTATTGGCTTTACCCAGTTTTATAAATATTATGATGACCTGAGGTTGTTGAAAAAGTATAGTTCATGGTGGAGTTATCTCAAAATGGATTGTATTAATTTAAATTTTTAAAGCTTTGCAGAGTTTGTACTATTCAAAATTTGTGAAGACATCATCTCTTCATTCGCCAGTCTTGGTTCAGTCTTGGCTAGTCCTGGCATTGATAATAAGGAGAAGCCAAGAGAAAGATAAAGTTTCTATATTTGGAATTAATATTTTAATAGAAGTAATAATTTGGTAATCACTATTGTAATTACATATATACTAAATGGTATTTCTGTAGTTGGAATATCTGAAATTATCGGTGTCTATATCAATATGGGTCTGGTTCCCATTAGAAAGAAGAAAATGATGGGGTACTAGTAGTTACACCATGAGCCCTTGAAATAACTTAAAACCAATCTCTCAATCTTGAAAGGTCTTGAGGCTTGAGTTGCAGTGACCAGATAAATTAATTGTCATCTAGAAATTCAGTATATTCTGAGGGTCTGGGGAAATGTGGTAAAGATTTCTCCTTGGGGTGATGAAAATATTCTAAAATTAAATAGTAATGGTTGTTCACAACCTTGTCAATTATCAAAAGAGCCAGTGAATTGTGCATTTTAAAATGTTGACTTTTATGGCATGTGATTTATATATCAATCTAAAAAGTATATTCTGGTACTTAGTGATAATGATCTCACATAGGTACCTTCTCTTTTTATTGAATTGAGGTCTAAGTGACATATAATAAACTTCACATATTGAAAATGTACAATTTGGTAAATTTTGACATGAAACCATTGGCAATATCAAGATAGTGAATGAAACTATAATCCCCAGAAGTTTCCTCATGCCCCTTGGTTATCCCTCCTCAGACATTCACTGATCTGCTTTTCGTCACTATAGAATAGTTGGCAATTTAAAGAATGTGATATAGTTGGAATCATAGAGTTTGTGTGTGTTTTTATCTGGCTTCTTTCAGTCAGCTTAATTATTTTGAGATTCATCCTTGTTGGTGTGTGTCAATAGTTCATTCCTTTTTATTGCAGAGTAATCCATTGTGTGGATATCCCACAGTTAGTTTATCCATTCACCGGTTGATGGACATTTTGGGTTGTTCCCAGTTTTTAGCTATTACAAATCAAGCTGCTATGAACACTCATGTACAAGTCTTTGTATGGACATAGGCCAGCGGTTCTCAACCTGTGGGTCGCTACCCTTTTGGGGGTCGAACGACCCTTTCACAGGGGTTGCCTAAGACCATCGGAAAACACATATTTTCAATGGTCTTAGGAACTGAGACACCGCTCCTCTATCCGTCTCTAGGTGGGTCCGCCCACATGCAGATATGCCCACATACAAGTACCCGGTTTCAAGACAAAATTTCATTTATTTGTAATTAGAAATAAATATTTCGCAATGTATAATTACATATTGTTTTTGTGATTAATCACTATGCTTTA